TGAAGGAGGAGACATCACGCCGATTATTGATAGTAATGCTAATAACAATGTTTATCATAGTACTTCGAACTGTAAGAAAAGGATCATGACATTATCAAGACTGTTGCCAAAATGGCACATGTCATAATAGTAGTGATAGTCGTATTATGATTAACAAGAATAATGGCAACATAGCTTGAAGATGCCGTTCCGTCGTGTTTGACGGTGACTTTGGGCGGAAGGTGGCACCAGGCTGCCTGTCCACCCGGCGCCCTGAATCCACCCCTTGTGCTTGCATTGGGGCCGACGTGGGGCGACAATATACTAGCATGTGCCAGTTGCTATTATGTACAATAAGCTTTGGTTACAGGCAATTACAGACTGTTGCAATTTTCATACATCACGTATCTGAGAGTGTGTGTGCACCCAAAATTTCAACTATACGATCACAGTAGTAGTCTAGAGCAACCTAGATCAATCACGTTCCCCAGCAACACGCAGTCACGCAGACACTTGTGTGTGCACCAAGCCATCCCTTGAGCCAATGTGATTCTATACACACACGTGCACTTTACTGTGCAGTGTACTGTCTACCGTCGTATGTTAAACTACTCTACTATTCAAACGAGGATGTCCATGGGCCTGCGGCAAGCGGCAAAGGCGGGGATCCCGTTACATCGAACGGCTTTGATTTTGGAAAGCCCTCCGTGCAGCAGTGAGGCAGCAGAGAGGCTGCTAAATCGAAAAATGAAAACCAAACCCGAAAGAAAGACCCTTATGAATCCCTCCATGGGCTGCAGCTTCAGAGAACCCGGGGTCAGACTGAGACTAAGCACAGAACGCACCCGGTGTTGGTTTAGGATTTAGGGCTTGGGTGTTGGCGGTTTGAGTTCGGGTTTTAGGGTACTGAGGTTTGGGGTGTCAGGGCTTCGGGATTCACCTATTCGCGTTCAGGGGTAGGGCTTGTGGAGTTCAAGGTTTTGGGCCTTAAGTTTTTCCAGTCGCCTTTGCTATTTCATCAGCGGCGAAGGCAATCCATGCGGCCGCTGGGGACTCAGCATTTTCCTGCCGTCTAGTTTCCTGTCATCTCAGACGAACTCAGCCCCGTAATTATCGGCTTCAGCATCGCCCTGAAGAACAACTTCCACAGCCGCTAAGTTCGAGTAAACTCGGGCAGCGTGGACTCCGCTATACCCAAGACACCCAGCAAAACGTAAGCGATTTGACTTGGGAGCGCTTCACGGTCATAGATGCTGGGAATGGCACGGTTGCGCTGCACAGCACAGCGTGGAACCGGTTCCTGAGGATGTCACCTACCACGGCGGATGCGAGTCCCGTCAGGGCAGCCTCCGACTTGACTGCGGACTGGACTTGGGAACGCTTCCGAGTTGTCGAGCTTGCCAACAATGAGATCGCGTTGCACAGCGGCAGCGGCGGTGGAAGCAAAGTGAGCTTAGATGGTGACTGGATCGTCGTCCCTGACGAGTCGAAGGCGCACTGTGTCTTTTGGCGAGTGCTCAAAGATATCGGGGATCCTTTCCAAATACTGTAGCATCCAAGCAGGGCCCATGTCAGACAGCGGCTAGCTGAGCTTCGTAACAGAAAGCCGGAAGGGGTGGCAGGGTGCGACCCCAGTGGAACATGCCACTTCGTGACAGATTTCTGCGCTGTCCACACCCTGTGATCCCAGTTTGCTCTAGGTGCTGCCCGCAATGTCTATAACATCCGAGCCCTTGCGTCAATAACGGTATAATCTTGCAAGGCTAAAGGCCACAACGGGTCCAGTCATTTTGCAGACCTGTTCACCACTTGGTTTAAACATGTTCAAACGGTCCAACTCGACTGGTCAGAGGCTTGCCTTGGTTTAAACATTTAGTGTTTAAGCATCGACGTGTTGAAACAGTTCAAACAAGACCTCCGTCCCAAGCCTGGTGGAGGCTTCCGCAGCTCTTCCCGGTGAAGTCCAGCGGTGGACTATGGGTTATATCCGTAGCGCGACCAGGGATCTGTGCACTGGAAACGATCTTGTCCGCTTCGAAGGCCTAGACAAGAAAGTGGAGATCGCGAGCTGCACAGTGTCAGTGGCAGAAGAATGGCCGAAGCCGCCGGAGCAAGACCGGCGCAGGCCCCTGCGCCTGAGGAGGGTGAGGACTGGATATGATATGGAGGAAGTGAAGGCGTACTGCCGTGATGCTGAGTTTCACGGTCTGCTTACAAGACCTGACGAAGCCCGCGCCAGCTACACTGTTTGCACTGCCAGAGCTTCGGTTTGCACCACGTATGGTGCCGTGCGTGCCGCACAGGTCTCGCAAGGGAGCGCCAGAAAAGGCGATTGGACTACCTGTAGAATGATTCTGAAACCTGCGTGCTGCAGTCTTTCGACCCGCATCGTTCGACGGATGAAAAGTTGTCAAAAGTGCCCTGTGCTCTTCTCTGAAAACCTGGCATCTCTGTAGTCGGGGCATGGGAGCCCCCGCGGTGCTGATCGCTGAGCCCAGGTCCGGCCTTGCCTCCATGGTGAGAGAGGCTGCAGCCCGACCTTCACTTCGATTCGTAGGCAAAGGATTCCGGGGACCGCAAAGGCGACCAGTCCATACGCGGCGGATGTCCATACACTAGAATTCACGATGAATCAGGGGTCATTGTACAGAGGCCAGACACTGCTGACATCATCTCTGATGGCAGGTCTGCAAGAACGGAAGTTTGGGCGTGACCCCTGTGGCAAAATCCAGCAGGAGTGACGAATCAGAGGATGCAGATTCAGCCTTCACAAGTCGTGTGAAGACTTGGACGCTGCTGCCTCGGGCCTCGCTTGTGCTTCGACATGCGCGACCGCCTTGGTACCCCCTCCGACACAGCTCTCTCACATCCGGTACAGTCGAGAGCAAGCGGGGCGAGCACACTTTGGACGCTCAGATTTGCAGGGTGGCGTTGTGCCGGGATGAGTATTATGTGGACTGCCCCGCTTCTTGGGCAACTCGGCTGTGGAAAGTTCCTCGTGACATTCGGAGGCTGCCGCTGCTGAAAGTGTTGCGCTGTCCCCTTCTTTAGTTCAACCTGCGTGTTTGTAGGCGGAGGTCAACAGAGGCTTTCTCGCGATTGCCTGACTCATGAGGTATATGCGGTGCGGGGCACTGACCCCAACGGTTTCCGAGTCATCAGCCTGGACAGAGATGTGGGACAGCATGTCGAGTCAATCCAAGTCTCTGAAGGCTGTGCGAGGGTGATCGTTGTGGATGAGGACTCCTCTTCATCCAACGACAGATAGGGTCAACAAATCAGGGACAGGAAGTAACTATTGATTTGTGTTATGTCCCTCGGTCTCAACGGTTTTTTTGTACTGTTCAAGACGTCGCGTGGCACAAGGAGAATCCGGACGATCAGACTACTTGCAACCACCCAGGCGCAAGCTCAGTGTACCTTCCTTGATGTGTTCCCAGACTGTCGGATTTGTTTGTTATGTGTCGGATCAGGCTGCCCTGAGCTGCCGAATGACTTCTCGGAGGACGTCGGTGGGCTTCAGCTCTTCAACGCCCAGGGCTCCCCGCTCTGGTCCGGCGAGCAGCCGAGCTGCAGGGCGGAGCTCAGCCTGATCACCACTTTGGATGGGAAGGAGATGCACTGCTCCCTCGAGACAAAGTCCGTCTTCGGCAGGACCTGGACCGCCAGAGACATGAGATGGGCCTGCGGCGTCACCTATGCCCAGGATGAGCTGCACTACGAGCTCACAAAAGTAGCGCTGAGTTCGGGCTGCGATTCTGCTGTGATGAAGGGCGTCTCGGGCAAGACGAGGTACGTGCCACGAATTCGGCAGATTAATCAACACCATGATTTCTACGATACGCATTATTTCACCCTCATGGATAATGCGGATGAGGTCACAGAGTATGCGACTGACTTTTCCCTTTACGCCCACGATGGAGGCTTGCGACCGATTCAAAGCATTTGCCCCGCAGGCTTTTGGTGATCCCTGGGCAGGGCACCATCATTGATACGAAGGAGGCTTTTGAGGCTTACGCGGCCTGTGAGGAGTCGGATGCATGCTGCGTCTTGGCACAATGTAAGAACAGACACAGCAGGTGGACTCGGGCATATGGGCTAGGCATGCAGGATGAGAGAGTTGGAATACCCTCTGGGTGAGTGTGAGCATGTGTCTTGTCGTTTGTCTGTCTTGGGGGCTGGCTCAGGTGGTCTGACGGAGGGCGAGGGCTTGCAACACACCAGTTCGGTCCGAAATTTGGATATGGTACAGTGCGATGTGAAGCCCGTGGATGGCAAATACTTCAGCACCTGCATCAAGAGCGTGACGCTCCGCAGTCCTCAACAGGCTGACATCCCCCGAGGGTGCCCGAATCTCTGGGCCTCTGTGCATTCGGCCCCTGTCTTCAACGCTCGAGGCGATGTGAGACGGGGCCCGCTTTCGGCGCAACCTTTAGCCTTAGCCCCGCTGAAACTCAGTGGGCACGAGGCGATCGATTCTAGAGGAAAGAATGCAGGTTTCAGGATCTCGGCCAACGGGTTTAGGGCTTGGAGTTTTGCATGGGGCTCAGCAAACCGGTATTATGCGCCGCATAGTCTTGCACGCTTAACAGTTTTAATCTTTCGCGGTAAGAGCTCTCACCACATGTCTTTCCTGTTTGTATTGAATCCAATAGATATATCTATCTATATATATATATGTATTTATGGCTAGTAAAAGCATTGCTTGCCCTGTCACTGTCAATGTTAGCTGTACAGCACAGCGTGTTATGAACATGGGTGTGGTTTACAACCAGAACAAGGGTCCGGTTTTTGAAGCATAGACACATGCAAGATGCCGGGCCAGAAACGCAAACACGACATCACGACATACCCTCTTGTCTGATACGTGTCTTCCAACACCAACCCTTCCGGTTTAGGCGGGTTTAAGCCGGCATGAGGCTTTAGGGTCGAAGCTCTTCGGTGTAGCATGTTGCCTTGAACCTTAAGCCCCAAGCCCCAAACCCTAAGCTCCAGTGAGGAGGATGTGCAGCATCTCCTTCTTCTTGAACCTGCTTCTGCTTCATAGTATTTTGCATGGTTTTACTACTATTCTTCTTCTGCTTCTTCTTCCTTTTATGCTTTCCTCATTTCCTGACGGTCTGCATCTTCAAACCCCAAGCGATGCAAATCACTGGTGAATGTGGTTGGTTGAGGTGTGACAAAAGTTTGGGTTTTGCAAGATGGTTTTCGCTTCAACTACTGTGTCACTAAAGTACCTTTGCGTGCGAACCACCAAGCCCAGATCCCTAAGCCTTATATAAGCCCGAAGCCCTAAACTTCACTTTCTAGGCTGCACGCCGCGAGCATCATCATGCTATATAATACAAGGTTTATTGCGCACCTCAGCACGGACCGCACGATGCCCCACGTATAGTTTTTACTCTGGCTGCACTTTTGCGCACACCGCGAGACCACACTGGCGCTGCTGTGCTCGCGGAAGGCCGGCGAGTCGTTGCGTCAGATGCTTGCTGCAGGATCCAGGCTCCTCGGGCAAACATTAAGTCGCGAGTCGCAACGGCGTGAATCCCCAGCAGTGCGGAAACGGAGCATGCGCAGGGCGAGGCGAAATCGCTTCCAATCTCGGGGATCCTCGGGGCTCTTCTTGCCCTATACTGTACTCGCCCTTGACGCCTAATGTTGTCGGCTTCCAACCTGGCGAGCCTTGTCCATTTCCGCTGCCGGACTATATTGTGTGGCGAGGGGCCGCTGCTGGGCCTTCTGGTGCTATGCTAGCACCAGCATCTTGCTGGACGGCGAGGGTAACACGCAGAAGTTGCGAATCGTCGATACGTGCCGCCGCCTTGTCTTCGCGCCGCACTTCCAACATGCGTCTTTTCCGCAACAGTTGGGCTGAGCACGCGGGCAGGGACCGAGGCTTGGGCATGCGTCGCGCACAGTCGTCGAGATCGACCCGTATGCAACGATCCTTTCAAGTCAAACGAAAGGTGTGACTCTTGCTGCTTGTAGCCTGGATGAGGGTGCAGTCTGCAGAAGTATCTGCTCGAGGCATGGAACTGAAGCATGCCCCGAGTCTCGACGCCCAAATGGAGATGGGCCGCCATCAGCGGTCGGAGTCCGGGCAAATAGGTACAAAAAGGCGTCACGAAGGCTGCGAAACAGAATTCCCCAAACACATACCGGTGGTGGTCCACGTATCAACATAAGCGAGCGCATGCCTTCAGCGATGAAAAACGTTCCGCATGCGCATTTGTTTGCGGCACGTGTCTGGCTGCGTTCAACTGCGTATCATCGCGTATCGAGCTCTGCCTTAGATCCACCCTCATTGTCGGTACGACAACAAAGCACAGGTGGGTGTGGGTTTGGACCACCGTACATGTCGTTCCAAGCTGCTGCAGTCTCCACCGCCGTTTAGGAACGAAAGCATACACCTCTCCCTTCCAGTTGGCTTTGGTGGGGCCAACCAAGTCGCAATGTATGCGTTGACCAAACTTCGCCGCACACTCGTCCTCATGCTTACGAGCCGCTGGTTTCTTGATGGTTTTGGCTTGTACACAGATAGAAAACCATAGGACAACTAAGATCTGCAGGTCTGCGAGATAAACAGTGGTTTTCAACTTTGGAGCTCGCATTGCTGGCAGTTGGAGCGCATGCGAGGGGCTCAAGTTCTCTAAGTCCCAATGCCGGTCGTCAGAACTTTGTGCATTGACAGCAAACCGCGATGCTCCAGAATCCAATGCCCATGCCGTTGATGCGAGCTTCGCACATGCGCTTGAGAGTTCCACTGGCATGTCAACAACTGCTGCTTGAAATTTCTTTGCCAAGAAATGTTTGAAAGCTTGGGCAAAAGCATCTTGTACTGTTGCGGCGGTTGGTTGTCTCGAAAAATGCAAACCTGACAGCCGCAAGTGACTTTCGATTTCGTATTTTCATCCTTGCTTTTCTTGCCTTTCTCAGGCCCTTTGCTGCGGCAACGGTGCCGCGAGTGCCTGCCCTTTCAGCCTTGCGATTGTTCCGGCTCAATCTCATCTCAGTAATCCTTGTGAATACTGTCGATTGCCGGAGTCAGGCCGGTCCGGTTTGTGGGTGAGCCAGGCGCCTAGAAATGCCCACGACGCAAACGTGGCCGTCGATTCAGTAAGTCCAAGAGGGCTGCAAACCATCTGCGTGCTTCACTCAGCATGGCAGCCAATCTGACAATGCCATGTTTCCATTTTCCCACCCGTTGTTGTGGTTGTGGTTGTGGTTGTGGTTGTGGTTGTGGTTGTCGTTGTGGTTGTCGTTGTGGTTGTGGTTGTTGTGGTTGTTGTTGTTGTTGTTGTTGTTGTTGTTGTTGTTGTTGTTGTTGTTGTTGTTGTTGTTGTTGTTGTTGTTGTTGTTGTTGTTTGTTGTTGTTTGTTGTTGTTTGTTGTTGTTTGTTGTTGTTTGTTGTTGTTTGTTGTTGTTTGTTGTTGTTTGTTGTTGTTTGTTGTTGTTTGTTGTTGTTTGTTGTTGTTTGTTGTTGTTTGTTGTTGTTTGTTGTTGTTTGTTGTTTGTTGTTTG